GTGGAGGAGTTTCAGCAACCACAGGCTTCAGCAGACATTGACAACAACACACCTGGCTTTCTGCAAACGTTAAACTTCCCCCAAAAAACATTGAAAAGGGGGCTGGAGGTGTTGGTGGCAAGGTAGGGACGGTACTTCCCACCCAAAAACTTCGGAAAGGGAGGTGGGGGTGATAGTGTTACGGGGTGCTTGTCACTGCTGCCTGGTCCAAGTTGCCCTCAATACTGGTAGAGTGATGGTCGTGAGTGCTGGTCACACTGAGGTATGATAGTAGGGATAGGGGGTGCGCTGGGAGCATTAACGTGGGGAAGGGTAGGGAAGGTGGCCTATCCTGTCAGCACAACCACCGGCTGCCGCTGCCAGGGGGTCTAGTCTTTGGCCTCTACAGCACACTGGGCCTTGAGGAGAAAAAAAACAAAAACAAAAAAAAAAGATGCGCTACGGCCAACTGGGGGGAAACCGGCACGGTCGACCGGCTGGTAGGACCGGTCCAGTTCCGGTTGAGGGAGGGGCCCCCGGCCCTACCGGGTTTGCAGCCTTGTTTCTTTCAGTGTTTTACAAAAAAAAAATCAACTGAACAAAGGATAAAAATCAAAAACAAAAACACATTGAAATCATTCAGTTTCTCAGTCTTCTTAACACCTCCTCCACCGTGCCTGTAAAGTACCAGGCTCGCCATGTTGATGAAGTTGACCGCGAGCTAACCCCATCCTCGTATGCCATAACAGCCCACTTGCACGCTATGGGAAAGAGGCAAGAGTGAAGGAAGAGGTTAAACACAAGGAAGAGAGGATCAGAAAAGGAAAACCGATAGGCAGAGGGAGAAAAAATACGAAAAGGTGACACAAACATCTTCTTTCTTTTACTGCATTATTCTTTCTTTCACAGTTTTGCAGTTTTGGTGAAGAGTCTACCACGTTCGCTTTTGGACCATTTCTCGATTTATGCGTGTCATCCTTGCGCAGGGGCCATGCTAATCTTCTCTGTATCGTTCCAATTTTAACCGATGTCCCGAAGGACCACGTTCGCTTTTCAGCGCACCTGCACTTCCTTCTTCATTTTTCATTCTCAATTTCACCCTTCGGACTTTTTCTTTGAGGGCGCTAGGGGGCAGGATACAAACAAAGTAAAATAACACAAACTTATGTTCTTCTTTTACTGCATTCTTCACTGTTTTGCAGTTTTAGTGAAGGGTTTCCCACCTTTGCACATTCTTGGACACTTTTTTCAGCGCACCCGCACATTTTTGTCAGGGTGCAAGGTACATCTAAGTAAGACCCTCATGACAGATAGGACAACTGTCATAAGGATGCGGGTGATGGTAGCAGCCCTCCCGCTGATCTACAGGACGAAAACCATTCAGGTAAGCAACTTCGTCACAGCAGGAGTCAGGGCGGCTAGCATCAACCATACCTCTGAAGCATATATATCGTCACAAACAGAACTGCCCGGTAAACCGTAGGCAGAGAGAGAGAAGAGGACAACAAACGAGGGGCTGTGGCAAACTGTTTCGTCGGAGTTTCACCAACTATATATTGTCACATATATATACATGGTTGCCGACGTTCGGGACAGGCCTAACACCCGAACATGAGCGCCCGAACGTTTGGGACCCCCTCTCGATGCGTTCGGCCAGTCAGCCGAATGTGGACCCCAAAAAAATAAAAAAAAAAATAAAAAAAAATCTGGAAAACAAAATGTGTTATGCACATAATATGCAGAAGAATAAACTGAACATTTGCCTCAACGTTACATCCAAATTCTTTACCAAATTTGAAATAAACAGTTAAAAATCAAATTCGAAAATAAATAATAATAATGAAAATTAGAAAAAATAAAACAAGAATGGAATTATTGAGTGGGCAAGCACGTTTTTGACACCGCCATCTTTGGCGATTTTTCATTTTGTTTTGGCTTTGACAGGTGCCATGAAAATTTATAAATATGCATTTTACATAATAGAGAACCTACAAATAAGGTTTGAAAAAATAATGATTTTTTTCATGCCCCGAAATGAAGGAAAAACAAAAAGCGAAAAGAGAGAAAAAACAAATTAGTGAGTGGGCAAGCAAGTTTTGACACCGCTGCGAGGATTCGGTCCTCGGCAGGCCTAAGAGGGCCCCTACTGCAGATGTGCCCGCCCTAAGTGAAGGCGGGCCTAACAAATCACCAGAGGCCCTCAACTGTCAATTTCGTACTTGTGGGATCCAGGCAGTTTCGACGCACCAGTTGGTTGAGGGAAAACGCAGGCCGACCAGCGGCACAATCCACGGCCTTCTGGGCCTTTCCAAGAATGCAGGCCCTGGGCGAGAATCGCAGCCTCATTCACTGACAGTTGAGGCCCAACCGAAAGAGGCCCAGTAGCTGCAACACAAGCACAGCATCCTGGGGCCTACCGGAAAGTCCAGCCAGGCTTTGAAGGCAGGAAGCTCTTTCCAGATAGGAAAGAGCTCACCACCGGCAGCCTCATTCAGGCACTCGCATGCTAGCGGCAGCGCTGCTGGAGCAGACGCTCGTGGGCTGCTACTGGCGCTGAGAGGCGAGGTGCTAGCGCGTGCGGTCGTCCAGGGAGCAGGGCGCTGCTGAGGGCAGCGCCATATCCCAGCCTCCATAGCCGGTTGGGCTTGCACTACAGTGAGGCGCAGGGGTGGCCTTCGGGTGTACAAAGGGAACACGAGGGAGTAAGACGAGGGAGAGAGAGCGAAGGATGATGATGATGATGATGATGATGATGATGATGATGTGAGGGCACATACATGGTATTGACGATGGTCTGCATGGGCGACATCTTCAAGTACTACGGAGGCTGCTGACGTCAACAGCTGCATTGTCAATTAGTAGGCAGAGAGTAGCTGTGTAGAAAGTAGGCTGGGCGCCGAGCGCCAAGTAGGGAGATAGGGGCTGGACACTCATGTTGGTGGTGGCGAGAGCAAGCTCTCATTGACATTGGTTTTCAGTGTTACGAATCTTCATTGGTGTTATATTAGTGCATTTCTGCTTTCTGGACACTGATACTATATGGCTTTCAATGTGATTGTGCAATCTGCTTATTGCCATCTCGCTATTGCTCCGATACCAAATTGCAAGCGTTCAATGGCCTGCTGCAGCATCTGTTCATATTTGACAGCAAACTCTATGCTGCCAGGTGCTGCAGTGGGTTGTCTTTCTGGTAACAGAAAGTCAAGTGCAGTTCTGGGCTTCCAACCAAGGTGCAGTTAATTGGGAGTCAGGTAAGTTCCCGTCCCAGTCATCCTGACTTGGCTTGATATAATGTCTAAGCAGGTGCTGTACTACTCGGTTCATCTGCTCTGCTTGGCCATTTGACTCAGGGTGATTCCCTTACGTCATTTGGAGCTTTGTGCCCATCTGTTCGGCAGTTGATTGCCACAATTCACTGGTAAATCTCACATCCTTGTCACTAACAATGGACGTAGGCAGACCAAAGTCACGTACCCAGTTACCATAAAGAGCTTGATGATGCGGTCAGTTCTGGCTGTCTCAGGCATAGCAGTTAGTCTTGCACATTTAGTGAATCTATCCACAATGACAAACATATGCCTTCTTCCACTCTTGCTGGTCATGAGAGTGACACACTCGAGTCCAGCAGGGATAGGCAGAGGTTTAATCAACCTTGGTTTGTCCTGTTGACAAATGTTATATATGCGATTGAACTTCAATCCACAACGAATTCACATGTTCCCATACACGCATGCAATTTCAGAGTAGACTCGAAGGAGGCAAATCCACACAAAACCAGAGAGGAGATATGCACAGCGGAAGCTCAAAATACGCAGAGAATTGAAAAACGAATTTCAATTCTGCAATCCCTCATCCTCCTCCAATCAATCCAGACTACTTGTTCCAAGAATCCCAACCACGTTATCAACACCCATGGACCAATTATTTACAAGATTTCATCGAATACTTTGGGAGTCTTCTTTTTCCTCCCTCTTCCTCAAGCTCTAGCTATGGTGCCCGCGGGCACCCAACCTATCAAGCCTGCCAATCGCCACACACCCTCCTAAATTCAACACCCCTCTTCACCACCCAAGAAGCCCACTGCAAATGAAGTGTCCACTCAGCAGGGGAGCGCAGCTCCCAGGATGATGAAGAAGAACAGCAAATCGATGAAGATGAAGATCTGCCTCTTCGAAGCAGGCATAGAGAAGCTGCTTCGATGGCAGCTGCCGAAACCCCAATAGGACAGCTATGGAGGAAGCACCACGCAGAGCAGGGCCTGATGTCCCAGGGCCAATTCTGCACCAGCCAGGTAAGCCCAGTTATGGCCCTCAGCTTCCCTTCAACGAGGAAGACGAACGGGCACTTCCAGCCGCGACCTCCAGCAGCACTTCGTGAAAAAAAATGACGAAGCAGAACCCGAGATTCGTCGGCCCCTGCCTACTTTTACCGAACTTCCTTAGACCTACAACACAGTAACCACCTACAGACCTATCTGACCGTCCAAACAGAAAACATCTACGGCCCAACAGTCAAGATCTACCTACATGCATCTAGATGGAATCCTAGACGAAGGGAACCCAAGGCTAGGACACACAAAGAAACACCTACGGGCCTACCAGTTTCCAGAAGGGCAGAAAAGGACAAAACAACAAGGCTGAGTGGCCTAAGACTACGAAGTTGCCTACTGTTTAACGGGCAGCTCTGTTTGACTATGTCTAGTCAAACAGAGCTGCCCGGTAAACAGTAGGCAGAGAGGGAGAACAGGACAAGAAACGAGGGGCTGTGAAAAATATATATAGTGGTTGGTGCCCACCTCAGGGTATTAGTTGTCGGGCAGTCAGTGATGCTTAACCACAGCCGGGGTTAAACCACCAGTACCTTCCGAAGAACTCCTCCGAACCTTTTCTTTTGCAACCTACCGAACCTCTTTGTTTCGTGTTGATGCAGCTGGTGAAAAGGAAAGCTACGGTGGGAGACCGGTCCTTCAATGCAGAGGACCGGTACTCCAACGAGGAATGGCTCTTTTTTTCCTTTTTTCCTTTCTCTTTTGCTCTCCCCTATGCACGGCCGCTTCTACGAGAAGAGGGTTCACTCAACCACTCACCGCCTGCATAGAAGGCGACAATTACGGCACAGAGGATTCGAAAGGGCTGTGCTAAGATTCTCTGTCTTGGGTCGCCAACGAGAGTGATATTCATTCCCTTTCTTTTTTGGGATATTCATTCCCTCTCCAGTATTCTCCGCATGCACAGAGGACAAAAACATGGGGGTGTATCTTTATCTTTCCATGTCCATGTTCCAGGGAAAGATTAATTTTCATTTTTCACCTTCATCAGTGGCGGGGCGAGACCCCAAGGCAGCAAGCCTAGCAGCCTGCAGACATGCACAAAAGACGACGGATCCAGCCGGATCTTTTTCCCCCCCCCCCCAATTTTGGACCATTTCTCTATTTATCCGTGTCATAGTATCCTTGCTCAGGGCCATGCTAATGTTCTTTGTATCTGGCCATCTTTCAGCGCCACATTCATTCCGTTTTTTTTCTTTTTTGAGTAGTCCGGCAGGGACGAGTAGCCTCGCGGCTGCGGACGTGCACAGAAGACAGCTGGATCTGTTTGTTTGTTTTTTTCCAAATCTGGATTATTTCTCGATGTTTGCCTGCCATCCTCTCGTTCCTCAAGGTCATGCTATCTTCTCTGTATCAGGCCATCTTCCGCCAGCATGTTCGTTCCATTTTATTTTTTTGGAATAGCAATGACAGAGACGAGCACCCTGGCTGCTGCAGGCCCCAGTTCCGAACTTCACGTCGCCGTCCATGCCTTTCTGAACGTTTTTTTTTTTTTTTTTTTTGAAAATTTTGTTTTCTTTTTTATTGTGCTGGTCGCTCGTTTCCGTTTTGAAAACGAGCGACCACCAGTGCCAGTCCGGGGCTCTACCGAGCCTCCACCCGGCCTGCCCAACACTTCATGAATTCAGGAGATCAATTTTTTTTGCCTGGGCGGGGTACTGGTGGTTTAAGGTGGATTATCACTTACAGTGTAATCAGTTAGGGTATTCTGCAGAATGTTGAGGGTTCAGCCTCCTGACGAGTCGGTGAAACTCCGCCAAAACAGTTTGTCACAGCCCCCATATATATATATATATCGTCAAACAGAGCTGCCCGGTAAACCGTAGGCAGAGAGGGAGAAGAGGACAACAACGAGGGGCTGTGACAAACTGTTTCGTCGGAGTTTCACCGACTCATCATGAGGCTGAACCCTCAACAGTCTGCAGAATCCCCTAACTGATTACACTGTAAGTCATAATTCACCATAACCCCGGTTGTGGTTAACCATCACTGAGAACTGATACCCTGAGGTGGGCACCAACCACCTCAGGAAATCTGAAAAACATATATGTCATGTAAAACAACAATACAAGCAACTTTTGCCTTGAAGTCATGTTCAAATTCTTAGCCAAATGTGAGTTAAAAATCAAAAACCGAAAAAAAAGAAAATTAAATTTATTGATTAAATTTTTTACGAAAAAGAAATTATGTTCGGCCGAACATGTTCGCGAGCTGATCGCGCGAACGTGCGAACATGGAGGGGCGCGAACACATTCGCCATGCTATGCAGGGAGAGAGTTTACGAAAGACGATCGGTTTCATCGTTACCATTGCAGCCAAAAAGGAAGGGCTTGATCGAATCAGAAGGATTACTTTGACAGACTCTGAACAGGGTGGGGTGGTGCCGGCTCCATTCTTTTCTGTCACAGTTTCTCTGCGGATCTTGGAACTAAAAGAAGTTGGGTTTAGGGTTCCCCGATTTAACATAAACTTCTACCTAAGGCCTGGGGATTGGATTGTTGGAAGCCACACTGACTAAAGTACAGGTTCAGCAATATGCAGCCCTCTTGACCATCACGACAGACGGCATGGGGTTAACTGTGTGGTTTACCGGGACATTATGCTTGGATGTGCATGTATACATTAGGGTCAGGCGCCCCATTCGGGCTATTTTCATACTAACTGGAGTGAGAATAAAAGCATAAATAACTGGGGTGACTTTGATCTACATAATGACAAGAATAGGTCAGCCGAAATGCACTTAGCCTGAACAGATGGACAGGTGTGGGCCAGGCAAATGGCTGTACTAGAAAGGCAGGTAGTGCATCTTCATTGGCGTATTTCGGGCGAAAAGCTTCCACTGTCGCTCAACTGTGTCGTCTCTATCTATCTATACTTATTATAAAGGGAAAGCCGGGTCTCGTGTAATGCTTCCACGAGGCCTGGCTACCAATGTTGGGAAAACAGGCAGGACAGGGCTCGTGGCGCTGTGTGGGCCACACGACATTTTCGCAAGCGTGCTCTGTGGGGCACGCTTTTGAAATCTCTGGCCGCACATTTGAAAACAAGGTGCGTTTGCAAAATCATTGTGCGCATGTTTGATTAGAAGGTGTGTTTGCAAAACCGCTGTGTGCATGTTCGATTACAAGGGGCATTTGCGAAACCACTGTGCGCATGTTTGATTACACGTCGGCGACCCTTGACTGGTCGGCTGCCGACCCGCCGACCGGTCTGCTGGTCGGCACCTACTGGTGGGGGGTCGTCGGCACCCCGCAAAAAAAAAAAAAAAAAAACTGTCGGCGTATTCCTCGTTGAATAATCTTTTTCCCAAAGGGACAACTCCAACGTTGGCAATTCCAACGCCGACGGCATTGCAGCCGACCAGTAGGGCCCACGTATTCCTCATTGAATAATCTTTTTCCCAAAGGACCCCAGCAGTATATCTGCAAGGGTCCCTACATCTCAAGAGACGTTCAGCAAATTTCGGGTGAGAGTGGAGCAGGCCAGCAATATATGTTCTGGATCCGAAGCCAGGTCTGCTTGCCAGCACTTATGGGTTACAAGTTACAACTACTTGCTACCGTAGCTCTCTTTTTCTTTTGTTTCGTTTTCCTACGAGCAGTGGCCCTAAGGGCCTTTCTCCATTCGTCACTACTTGCACAAAAGACAAAACATATGGCGGCGTATAGTTCCATGTTCTAGCAGAAGATTCATCCTCTCTTTCTTTTGTGTCCTTTCCTACGAGCAGTGGCCCTAGCCTTGCTCCACTCGTCACCACTTCCACGAAAGACCAAACATATGGCGGCGTACGGTTCCATGTTCTAGCAGACGATTCATTCTAGTTTTGCACATTTGGTGAGTAGTGGAGGGTAGCCCTGAAAAGCACGTGGTAAGTTGGCCTGCTACTGCCCAGAAACTTTCGTGCTCAGTGGTCCCATAACTGCTGAAACACGGACCTTAATGTGAATCCACAGAATATATACTTGGCGTGCCATCACTCTAGCATGGCGATGAGCATTACCTCGTTCATGGTGAGATGGCCCTTAGTAACTATGCGCAGGGGCCTCTCGGATAACCCGCAGGGGTTTGCAAATCAATGCTAAGGAGTAATTTGTTTGCTCTCTCTCTCTCTCTCTCTCTCTCTCTCTCCTGCGTGCTCTCACACATAACAG